CCTCTTGGCATTTTCTTTCTACTACTTTAGGAAGTTTCCTCCACGTACAGAATGAAATCCAGTCCTTTTTTAAGTCAAACTTTACATTGCTATGTTATTTCAGAAAAAGCTCAGCTGGTGTTTGTCTGCTGGGATGAGCTCACACAGCACAGTATTAAAAAGGAACCATGAAACACTGATAGACAAAAAAAGACAACTTTTTGTTGTTGGTTTATCTTTTATACGTATACATCCCAAAGCAAAGTTTTCTTTCTCAAATTTAAGCTCATATTTGTATGATACGTTTACCGGTGCTTTTTTTTTTTCCTCATCTCATCAAAAAGAATTTTTCTTAATTTGATTTAGCACTGTATTTAGTTTTCAAATTAAAATATCCACCATCCTCAGATGCTTACTTAGTTGTAAGAATATCCCTTATTCTTTTCTCACCAGTACCCATGTTGCAGTAGCAAAAATATAGATACGGCATTTTAGTTGCAAACACAACTCCTTTTGAAATTTACCAAATTCTTAATGATACATTTATGGTACTTGTAAAAATATGTTGAACGTTAAAACTATGCTGAATGTTGCAAATACTATTATTAAGTTGTACTAATATTAGAAGTTTAGCTATGTAGAAAACCATGAAATTAAGGATAGATAAAAAGGAAAAGACATCTAACATATATTGATTTCTTGTTTGGTAATGTGCCCTTTATATGTATTGTCTTATTTAATCTATATAAGACCACTTTGAGTAAAGTGTTTTATTAATGAGGAAAACAGAGTAAATATGTGCACTAATAAACAAACATAGCAAAAGTCAGGTCTAGAATTCAAATCCAAGATATTCTAACTTTTGAGCCACACCTGTCTTCCAGTAAGAATTTTGAAGAATAGAGGTGCAGAGGAATAGAGGATGTGGTTGGAAGATAAGATTAAAAATCTGTTAAGAAGAATGCAAAGAGGGACTTAATAGGTGGGAAAAATAAAATATGATAAAATCTTGCTACATGGTTAAAGATGTTTTAAGAAAAAAAGAAATGTTGTTGGGAAATATTAGGAAAATAAATATGTTTTAGATAAAGTCAAAGAAGGTCGTTATGGATTATATAGGACAAGAAAGCAATTGGTAAAACTACCAGATTTCTCAGTGGACTTCTGCTACCATGCTAGCACTAACACAAGTCCTGTAATGAGCTTGAAGGAGTGGTTGTCTCTGGAGAACACTGAACATGTTAGAATGTACTGGGAAACCGTAGAGAATGGACTCAGTTGATAGACAGCATGACAGATTAACCTTATATAGACCACTTAGCCCACTAACTCTAGTATACCTGGACTCATCCCAACTTTAAAGAGTTTCTATAAATGCACTTAGTGAACAAAATTTCAAGAGAATCACATCTGTAGTTTTGTTATTGAGGTTCCAACAGGAAAGAGATAACAAATTCATATAAGGATACTTTAATTATTTTTTCAAGTAAAGGAACTGATTCAAAGATGTATACAAGGTAGATAGTAATCATAAATGGGCAATGCTGTAGTCTAGGACTAGTTGTAGCAAACATTTTACCAAGCCTAAGCCTGAAAGTCAAGGGGAGGGAAAGGTTAATGGGAGCCAAATGAAAAGTCTGTCTTAAGAGGAGTAGTGACTTCCACTTTTAAGAGACCAGACAACTAAAAGGGTCCCTGAGGAATTAATATGCTGGCCTAACTTTTCTTTGTCTCTTCCATCTCCTCTGGTGACTTCCCATTGCCTGAATGCAATTCAAAACTGAAAGAAAGGGATAAACTCTATATAAGTAGACAACCTGCTGGATATGCATAAGGTGCGGGAAAGAAAAGAGAAGGTATCTATCTAGCACAGTAACTGTGTCAGCCATAGCCACATCTGCTGCAATTGCTTCTAGGTTCTCTGAGCTTATATCTGTACATTTCCTGCATAACCCTTTCATATCTTCTCCTGTCTCCAAAACTTCTTGTGCATCATATCTAATCCCATTCTCAGCTGTTTATCTTAATTTCTATTTCACTGAGAAGATAGGAGCAATCAGAATACTTCTACCAACTCCCAGTACCACTTATACAGACATACTTCATTTTATTGTGCTCCACTGTATTTAATTGTGCTTTGCAGATATTGCATTTTTTAAAAAATTGAAGGTTTTTGACAACCCTCTGTTGAGCAAGTCTATCAACACCATTTTCCCAACATTTTCTCACTTTGCATCTCTGTCACATTTTGATAATTCTTGCAATATTTCAAACTTTTTCATTGTTATTATATTTGTTATGGTGATCTTTAATCAGTGATTTTTGATGTTACTATTGTAATTGTTATGGGGCATCATGAAATGTGCTCATGTAAGACAGAAAACTTAATTGATAAATGTTGCATGTATTTGGACTACTCCACTGTTCTGTTATTCCTTATTTTTCACCTCCTTGAGCCTCTCTATTTCCTGAACACATATTGAAATTATGCCAATTAATAACCCTATGATGACCTCTAAGTAATTAAGTGAAAAGAAGAGTCACACATCTCTCACTTTAAATCATAATCTAGAAATGTGTAAGCTAAGCTCAGTGAGGAATGCATGTCAAAAGCCAAGATAGGACAAAAGCTACACCTCTGTGCCAAATAGTTAACCAAATTATGAATGCAAAGGAAAAGTTCTTGAAGGATATTAAAAATGTTACTGCAGTGAAGACAAAAATGATAAGAAAATAAAACAGCCTTATTGCTGATATGGACAAAGTTTTAGTGGTCTGAATAGAAGATCAGAGCAGACACAACATTCCCTTAATCCAAAGCCTACTCCAGAGCAAGGACCTGACGCTCTTCAAATCTATGAAAGATAAGAGAGGTAAGAAAGTTGCAGGAGAAAAGTTTGAAGCTACCAGAGATTGGTTTGTGATTTTTAAGGAAATAAGCTCTCTCCATAACATAATAGTTCAACGTGAAGCAGCAAGTGCTGATGTGGAACTTGTAGCAAGTTCCCAAAAGATCTAGCTAGGATCCTTAATGAAGGTGGCTACACTAAAGAACAGAAATCCAATATAGAAAAAAACAGCTTTCTATTAGAAGAAAATGCCATCTAGGACTTTCATAGCTGGGGAGGAGAAGTCAATGCCTGGCTTCAAAGCTTGAAAGGTCAGGCTGCGTCTCTTGCTAATGGCCAATGCAGCTGGTGACTTTAAGTTGAGGATGAAGCCTATGCTCATTTATCACTCCAAACAATCTGAAGTCCCTTAAGAATTATGCTAAATCTACTCTGACTATGCTCTGTAAATAGAACAATAAAGCCTATATGATATCACATCTATTTATAACATGGTTTACTGAATACTTTAAGCCCACTTTTAGACATAGCACTCAGTAAAAAGACTGCTTTCGAAACATTACTGTTCATTGACAATGTACCTGGTCACCTAAGAACTCTGATGAAGACACATAATGAGATTAATGTTGTTCTCATGCCTGCTAAAACAATATCCATTCTGCAGCCCATAGATCAAGAAGTAATTTTTACTTTCCAGTCTTATTACTTAAGGAATGCATTTCATAAGGCGATAGCTGCCATAGATAGTGATTCCATTAATGGACTTTGGCAGAGTAAATTAAGGCCTAATGGAAAGGATTCACCTTTCTAATGTTTATTTATTTTGAGAGAGAGACAGAGAGAAGGACAGAGAGAAAGAGGTCAAAAGAGGAAGGGACAGAGAGAGTCGGAGACACAGAATCCAAAGCAGACTCCAGGCTCTGAGCTGTCAACACAGAGCTCGACATGGGGCTCAGATTCAGAAGCCATGAGATCATGACCTGAACCAAGATCAGACACTTAACTGACTGAGCCACCCAGGCGTCCCAAGGATTCACCTTTCTAGATGCCATTTAGAACATTTGTGATTCTTTGGAAGAGGTCAAAATATCAACATTAGCAGAAATTTGGAAGAAGTTAATTCCACCTCTCATGGATGACTTTGAGGGGTTGAAGACTTTTGGGGAGTAAGTAATTGCAGATGTGGTAGAAATAGCAAGATAACTAAAATTAGAAATAGAGCTTGAAATGTGTCTGAATTGCTGCAATTCTTTTTAAAAAATTAATATTTATTTATTTTTGAAGGAGACAGAGAGAGAGGGAGAGAGAGAGCAGGGGAAGGGCAGAGGGATAAAGAAGAAACAGAATCTGAAGCATGCTTCAGGCTCCCAGCTGTCAGCACAGAGCCAGACACAGGGCTTGAACTGCCAAGCCGTGAGATCATGACCTGAGCCAAAGTTGGACACTTAACTGACTGAGCCACCCAGGCGCCCCTGCAATCCTTTAAGAGAACTTTAACAGCTGAAGGTTTGCTTCTTATGGAAGAGCAAAAAAAAGTGATTTCTTGAGATGGAATCTACTCCTGGTGAAGATGCTGTGAAGATTGTTGTAATGACAACAAAAGATTTATAATGTTACATAAACTTGGTTGATAAAGCAATGGCAGGGTTTGAAAGGATTGACCTTAATTTTGAAAGAAATTCTACTGTGGGCAAAATGCTATCAATCAGCTTTGAATGCTACAGAAAAAAACTGTTCATAAAAGAAAGAGGGAATTGATGTAGCAAACTTCACTGTTGCTGTATTTTAAGAAATTGCCACAGCTACCTTCAGCAATTATCAGCCTGATCAGTCAGCAGCCATTAACACTGAGGCAAAACTCTCTACTAGCAAATTGATTATGATTTGCTGAAAGCTCAGATGATGTTTAGAGTTCCTCAGCAACCAAGTTTGTTTTTTTTTAGTTTTTATTTTTATTTTATTTTTTTTTTGAGGGAGAGTGAGAGTGAGTGGCGGTGGGGGGGGATTGGGGGGAGGGGGGAAGGGAGAGGGAGAAGGAGAGAGAGAATCCCAAGCAGGCTGTATTCCCATAATGGAGCCTGATGCAGGGCTCAGTCTCACAACTGTGAGATCATGACCTGCACTGAAATCAAGAGTCAGATGCTCAACTGACTGAGCCACCCAGGTGACCCACAGTCAAGTATTTTTTAATTAGGTATGGTGCATTTTTTTCCCAGACATAATGGTATAGCACACTTAATAGACTTTAGTATAGTGTAAACATAACTTTTATATGCAATGGGAAACCAAAAAATTCATTTGACTCACTTTATTTCTGTTGTATGGAAGTGAACCTGTAATATCTCAGAGGTATACTTGTAACCCACTACCAATATGTGCACATATGCACTCTGCCTTCCTTACTAATACCTTGGACGATCTATTGGTAGAGGTACTCGAGTCCAAATAATTCACTTGTACATTGTTTCATGTACTTGTATCTACTCAAGCAAATCACTCTAAAAATGTACTCTTTTCCTTGCATCATAAATATTTCCATCCTTATTAATTTATGTGTATCAACACACAAAGATACAGTTATATTTTATTAAGGAAAATCCTCTGCTCATTGTTGGGAGACAATTTCCTATGAGTCTACCAATTTGTATAGATCTTACAAAATGAAGCATAGGCTATTCTTTGTTCCAGGTTATTTTTACAAGAATGTTTGTATGGGAGTCAGATTTGGGCAATAACGATCATGTCTTCTGCCAGAGCAAAGGGAAAACATTCTTGTAGCCTTTTATAAAAGACTCAGATTCCTTAAGTTCAGGCTTCGTCTGTAACTCAAGTTCCTGCATATGAGAATTCAAGCTCAGAGGACAGACATAAAAATGCTGAAACTATAGCTACTACTATTGCTGTGAATAATAAACTGTCTTTTATCTCTGACCCAGTAATGGTGGGTCTTCCACTAGCATTAATGAAATTGCACCAAGCTAAATTGTAAGATTGAAGTAAGTAAAATGCAGACCCTTTGCTTTTATTGCCATCAATCTCATTTATCTGTTACACTATCCTTTGCAACAAAACTCCTTGAAAATGTTGTCTATACTTATGATCTCAAATTCCACTTCTTCCATTCTGATTATATTACTGCACAGAAACTGCTTCTATCAAAATTTGACTTAAAAATTGCTTATTCCATTGGACAATTCTTAGATTTTGTCTTTCATTATTTATAACCAACATTTGACACTTCTGATAACACTTTTCCTTCAGTTTCAAGGTCTTTCTTCACTTGGTTTCCAGATCAATACCAATATGTTTTTGATCCTTTAGTACTGGATGTTAATTCTCAGTATCTTTTGCAGATTTTTCCTCAGTTTTTTTAGTCTCTTTAAGATTCCATCCCTTAAGATGCAAGGACTTGGTCTTGAAACACTTTTCTTTGCTGTCTACATGCAATTTCTGGAATAACTATCTCCTTTAGCATCATGATTTTAATTATCTGTCCACACTGACAACTAGCATATTTATATCTATATCCCAGACCTCTTGAGCTACACATTTACTTCCAACTGCTTGACACATTCATTTGGAAGTAAAATTGGCATATCAACCTTAACATGTTTAAAACTGTACGATATGTTTCCCCCCATAAGCCTGTTCCTTTCACAACCTTTAATTCTATATAATGTCAACCATATCCTTTAAGTTGCTTAAGCCAAGAACCTTAAAAATTTCCTTAAATTCTCTTTTCCTCATGTCATGAATCCAGTATTTCCACAAATTTATCTCATACTTCAGTTATATTTAGACCATAAACCCTCTTATCACCTCTACTGTTATACCTCTACTCTTCTATCTCGATTACTGTGATAGCCTCCTAACAGATTATAATATTTCCATTCCTCTTTCTAAAGTTTATTCTCACCAAAGTAGGCAGAATAACCCTGTAAAATGGAAATCTTTCCTTCTGTGCTCATACCTCTGTTGGCTTCCCAACTCATGCAAAGTATAATTAATGCATAATCCTTATAGTGACCAAGAGGACTCTTTTACCTCATATTTTAAATCCTTTACTCTCTGACTTACTCTGCCCTATCAATGTAGGCTTCTTCAGTGATTCTTAAACATTCCAGGAACATTTATTTTCAAGATACATAAACTTCTTCCACATATCTATAAAGCTCACATCCTCATATCTCTTCACCTCTTGGCTCAAATGTTATCTTTTCCCTTAAATGTCCAATTCTCTGAATCCTGGAACATTCTGTATACCTTGTTGTTTTTCCTTGCTCATCTCTGACATCATTTTATATCATTTACAGTTTTTATTTAAATATTAACAAGTATAATGTAGGCTTCATGGGGAAATTATTCAGTCTGGTTTTTTTAATGATTCTCTATTTGTGACATTTAGAATAGTCCCTGTCACATAACTGGTACACAATAAATATTTGCTAAGTGAATGATTTACTTAATATATACATACTTGGACACATCTCAGAGAAAGAAAGAAAAGAAAGAAAACATTTTTCTTTATTTTCAAGTGAAAAGCTTTGATTTAGACAGAATTCAATGAAATATTTAATTTAGTAACTATTCATAAGTAGTTTATCATATTTCATCAGCTTTCAGTTGTTCATCAGTCTGTGTTTTTTATGATTATAAATAACTAATAATCTATATTCCTGCCCTTGAGGTTGGGGTCAGTGCTAGTAAATGGCAAGTTGCTATTTTTATTTTATGCAAACATGTTTTTCTGTATATTAATGATCAGATATTCTCTTTTGGAGATTTCAAAATTTATTTTTTATCCTTGTTATACACATCTAATTAGTTACTCTTTTTATCTGCTGGTGTGTGTGTGTGTGTGTGTGTGTGTGTGTGTGTGTGTGTGTGTGTAAAATCTGAGCTTGTTCAAACAATTATGCAAGTATTCATTGAGGGGAAGAAGAAATGTAGTGGGAGGGTCTTTCAGCACAAGAAGATGGGGAGAAGTTTAATCAGATGGAAATTAAGTCTGAAGGTGGTTGTTACGGATTCAATTGTGTTTCCCAGAAAAACATATTGAAGTACTAACTTCTAGTATCTGTGAATGTGACCTTCTTTCAAAATAAGGGCTCTATAGATGTAATCAAGTTAAGACAAGGTCGTTAGAGTGGCCCCTAACCCAATACTAATACAATGCAATACCTATAATTGGTGTCTTTATAAGAAGGAAAGAGACATACAGGAAAAACATCATGTGAAGATGGAGACAGAGATTGAATTGATTTATGTAGAAGCCAAGTAACACCAAAGATTGATAGCCATAACCAGCAGCTAAAGGAGGAATGGAACATATTCCGAGCCTTTAAAAGGAACCAACCCTGCCAAAAGCTTGATTTCAGATTTCTAGCCTCTGTCTGCAAAAGAATAAATTCCTGTTTGTTTGGGTTTTTTTAAAGTTTATTTATATATCTTGAAAGAGAATGACTGGATGTGTGCACAGAGCCAAGATCACTTGCACATGAGCGGAATGGGCAGAGAGAGGGAGAGAAAGAATCCAGGCTCTGTGCTGTCAGCGCAGAGCCTGATGCAAGGTTCAATCTCATGAACCATGAGATCATGACCTAGCTGAAAAGAGTTGGACCCTTAATCGACTGAGCCATCCAGATGTTCCTAAATTTCTGTTTTTTTTTTTAAGCTACCTGGTTTGTGGTATTTTGTTATGGCAGCCCTAGAAAACTAATATAGTTGTTATGCCCAGAAAACAGTGGAGGAACTCACTCGTTGGTAATATACCAACTCACTGGTTGGTGATATACCAAGAGAGCAAAGAAGTGTATGTAGTCAAGAAGCTGTATTTTGGACACTAATGTTCAAGTCTCACCAGCACCTCCCTGTCTGCCTACCGTGGCATGTGAACAGCAGAGCTGCTCCACCCACTCTTATCCTAAAGGCTAAGACAATGAACCTCTTGTGTGTAACACTAATGGGCAAATGAGTCTTTATGAATCTCCTAAAGTTTGCTTTAAATATGACCCTGGGGCTTTGAAAGCCTCTAGGAAGGAGAGTTTGAAAAGCCATTAGTAACAATGTAGTTTAATTTCTTCACAACCTTGAAGGTGGAAGGCTTGAATTTGTGTTTTAAGTATAAGCATTTTAAAATATATGATAAAGTTACACTTGAGGTCGCCATCAAGAAGCATACCTGTTGCATATGTAAAATCTATATTGTTGGAACAGACTGTAACTCTTACATTTTCTCTCATTCATCTGGATATTATGGGCAAATTTCCTTTATCTGCTTTACTTGGGTTTTTGCTTAAATAATCTCTTTTGAAATTTAGCTCCTTGAATTTATAAATCAAATCCATATATTCAAGACCTCATTGAGTTACTTACTATCATGTAACTTTTAACAACCTGAAATCTTTTTTTTTCCTTTGGTTTTCCTTTACTTCTTCTGTTAAAATATGAATAACGGTATGCAATTACTAGAAATGACTAGGCCAATAATATAAGTTATTTTAATTAAACCAATATAGTGTCATTCTGGTCTAAGCATGAGCAAGAGTCCTCAGTGCAATGAATCTGCAAGAAAGTTGATAGTTTCTTTCAAGAATTTCTATGAAATGAAAAAAAAGAAAACAAGAAAAAAAGAATTTCTATGAAATGTTTTTAATTCTTTAAAAGTTTAAATGATTTAGCACAGTATCTCATTATCATCAATGTCAGCCTTTGGGTATAATTAAAAAATATGCTTCAAATGAAGTATTGATCAGGATTCTTTATATGAAATTATATCCATGCTCCTAATTTCTGTTCTTAAAGGTTTCTACCATGTCATAGCCAAATAATTCAAAAGGAATATTCTGGTTAAAAGCAATCTTTTAAATTCAGTTGGTGTAGAATGACTGCCAGGCCAATAAAACTTGAATATAAACAGTGAAATCTATTAACTTCAGAAGAAAACTAACTTTTTTTTTTAACTTTTTTTTTTTTTAATTAGGTCACCCTTGACACATAGGACAGTGGAGGAGCAAAAAGATAAAGTTGACAGTATCCTGAGCACTACCCAGGAGAATATGTCTTTGTTTAGAGACAATGCTTAGGTCCACAGCTATATTGGAATAGTTGTGAATTTTTTACTGTTTTTGGCTGGGTATCACAACCTGAAATAGGTACTCATGTGCAACTGACATATGAAAATCTGGCAAGACAGTAAGTGCAGTTTGCCAAGGATGGAGAAGAAGCCAGGTGAAAGTGAAAGGTCAGGATAAGTCTGATTTCAGGGTGATTTCAGCAAAGGAACTTTATGCTTAAAAGCTGTCCTGCATGGAATCACGAGAGCATCTTTAATACTCTGAAGTAGAAACACATAGGCACTTTCAGCTTTATACATTTGTAGGTAAGGGCTAGTTGTCCCAGTGGCTCATGAGAAGTTCTCCAGGCTGAGCCATAGGCATACACTATTGGAAGCAAATTGACACTAAGATTACAAGTATGGCACACAGAAACAGAAAAAAAAAGGGGGGGGGGAGCATCTTAGATGTCTTTGTGGAGCAGAGGGGGCCCCTACCTCTTTCATTAACTTGTGGAGAATGTTGGGCCCTCTGAATTTTGTAGCAATTCCAAACTCATCACAATGTATACGCACATTTCTTCAGAATTCACGGACTTCACTTAATGTATATTTAGTACAACCTAAAGGAGAGGATAAACTACAATTTGCTTATAGGCTGCTCAATTGCCAAATGATGTTTTTTAAATCAAAATGAAAAGTTGGCTGTAATTCTATCTCAAATTCTTTATGTAATCATTAAAGAATATAAACTAGCGTGACTAAGATTTTCAGCCATCCCTTTGATAAAAATGTGCTTTTCCTTAGAAATATGCTTCTCCTAGGAAAGCACACTTGTGCTTGTATTGTTGTATGAATAATTAATCATTTCCAGTTAGTTATTCTTAACTGGGAGTGTAACACAATGAGGAGATTATTAGGTTTTCTCATAGCAATAAATAGCTCTGGGAACCTGAGAATATCTCAGTTATCTCTTACTGCTCTTTGTATTCCTGTCAATAAAATGGGGATGATAAGAACTGCCAGATCTATTTCCTATATCTGTACTTAATATGCTGTACTTAATATATATTATTAGTGTAAAAATAATACATTTTTTTCAACGTTTTTTTTTGTTTGTTTGTTTGTTTTTTGGGGACAGAGAGAGACAGAGCATGAACGGGGGAGGGGCAGAGAGAGAGGGAGACACAGAATCGGAAACAGGCTCCAGGCTCTGAGCCATCAGCCCAGAGCCGGACGCGGGGCTCGAATTCCCGGACCGCGAGATCGTGACCTGGCTGAAGTCGGACGCTTAACCGACTGCGCCACCCAGGCGCCCCTAAAAATAATACATTTTTAAAGGAATTATGAATCACTAAAGTTGAATCATTATTATAAGTAGGCTTGGCAGAAACACATCTGTGTTGGAATGTGGTTTTATATGGTTGACTAAATTCAAGTGAAGGAAAAATATATTACTAAACTGTCAGGAAATAATTTTAATGATCAAATATCTGATTTCTTAATTCCTATGTACCCCAAAATGTTTAAGATTAAACAATTCACTTTCTGATAATAATTATTTTAGCATTATTAAGCTGGGTATTTCACATGGAATAAACCTGAAAATTGGCATCTATATTTCAGTAGGCCTAAGTGTGTACCTGTGCACAATGGTTAATAGTTTGATAGCTGGAAATATTTGTTAACACTAAATAACCGTAAGCAGTGACTTTCTTTCAAGGTATTTTTGAAGAATTGCAGTCATATCTCAGAAAGATTCATCACTTACTTTCTCTTTTCAGTGATTATTACAGAAGTCTACAGACAGCTACACCTATAACAGCAAGTTAAATACTTCATATTCTACGATATATTATTTGAAGTACTACATTTTTCAATTTATTTCAGGATAAACTGATAAAATTTCTATATTGGACTTAAATTCAACAGTTCCACTAAGTTGAATAATTTTATCTTCACTCTGCAGTTGCTTAGATACCTCTGGGTATTTTCTGGTTTTATCTTTGTTGCCAGAAGTATTTATGCATCAAACTAGGACCAGTGATACTTAACCAACTTGATCTTTATTATACTAGTGCATAGGTTACTACTTAGACAGAGATTAACAAGCCAGTGAAAGTGCTCTCTGGGGATAGAGAGTCTACTGTGTTGAGAGGGTCAAATGCATTATCCATTTCAAATTCTAAAGGATAGAAAACAGCTTTAACATATTCTTCGTCCCTCTGCAACTGCTGTTGTAATGAATATCACTGGGCATGCTGTGCTATCATTTTTAATTCCATGAAATAATAAAGTTTATGAAGTTAAGACCTAGCAAAATTCAATAATTTTTAAGTGTTCTTTTCTCTGGCTTAAAAAAAAAAAAAAAAAGGCCCTTGGATTAATATTCTTCCTTTGCAGGGAAAAAAGCATCAATAGTTATTTCAATGTGTTGAATGTAAAATATTTTGCATGAAAAAAATCAAGGTGCCAAAGTTATTAAAAGGGAGTGACTAGACAAGAACTTCTTTTCAAGATAAATTGGTAGCAAAATTTTATCAGAAGTAGTTTTACTTGCACAAATCACAATATATATGAAACTGAAAAATAAGGTATTTTGGCTTTTTAGTAATAAATGTAAACATAATGAAACAAATATTAAGACTTTGCATGCCATTTCTTATAGAAAAATATAATTATAATATCTCTCTATTGTATATTCTATCAGAATTGTAGAAGGAATATACTATCTTCTTAGTCCAGGTCCATATGCTATGATAACCATGATAAAAATTGGAAATAGAGAATTAATAGATCATCTACATAATTTTAAAGTTGTGGTATTATAGAACAATATTTAAAATATTGAATTCCTTTCTAATCAAACTTAACCTTTTAAAGTATAGCATTTGATTATATTTTTAAAGAAAACAATTTAGAGGTAATTTTTTTTTGTTCTAAAATGTTTTTCTTACCTAAAAGAAATAAAATTTATCATTACAATGATTTTTTTAGCATATCTGATTTACTGAATAAAAAATACAATAAAACTTGAAATTGTTTCCTGTCAAAACCATGGAATACAAAAAAAATTCAGTACATATTGTTGCTTTTTAAAAGTATCTTAAAATGAGCAGTGTCTTAGTGGCTCAGTAGGTTAAGCATCCAAATCTTGATTTTGGCTCAGGTCATGATCTCATGGTTTGTGGAATTGAGCCCTGAGTCAGGCTCTGTGCTAATGGCATGGAGCCTGCTTGGGATTCTCTCTCCCTCTCTCTCTGCCCCTGTCCTGCTGTGCTCTCACTGTCTCACAATAACAAACTTTTTAAAAATCTAAAATTATTTAAAACAGTAAACTATACTTTTCAGTTTTTTTTTTGCAATGATATATTGGTCTCTATTTATAACAAAAACAAAATACCATATATCTTCTGTTCCCAAACATTTTCTCTTCCTTCTCCCATTCAGAGCATTCTCTTTCCTTTGAGATGTTTCTTAACTTCTGTTGCCTTATTACTGAAAAACTGGTAGTATTTTTAATCTTTTTTTGCTTTTTTATTAGAATTTATTAAACTTCTTATATTCAACTTTTATTTTTCTATAATATTCAGGATTAGTTCTAATTCTGCACTTTCTCATCAGTAAAAGTAAATTTAATATAACAAATGCATTTATTTTTCCTAATAAATAATTAAATTATTAAATCTTATTTAATTAGGGGCACCTAGGTGGCTCAGTCAGTTAAGTGGCTGACTCTTCATTTTGGCTCAGGTTATAACCTCATGGTCCTTGAGTTCAAGCACCACATCTGGCTCAGTGCTGGCAGCACCAAACCTGCATGGGATTCACCCTCTCCTTTTTTCTCTGACTCTCTCTCTCTCTCTCTCTCTCTCTCTCTCTCTCTCTCTCTCAAAATTAATAAACTTAAAAAAAAGTTAACTTAGTTAATTTATACCTTATACAAAAATAAATTCAAAATAGATGAAAGACCTAAATATGAGATCCAAAATGTCCAAGAGGAAGCCTTTAAAATTCTAGAGGAGAACACAGGCAGTAGCCTCTTTGGCTTCGGCTGTAGCAACTTCTTACTAGATATGTCTCCTGAGGGAAACCAAAGCACAAATAAACTGTTGGAATTCATCAACATAAAAATCTTCTGCACAGTGAAAGATACAACCAACAAACTTAATGGCAACCTACTAAATGGGAGAAGATATTTGCAAATGACATGATGATAAAGGGTTAGTATCTAAAATGTATAAAGAAATCATAAAACTCAACACACAAAACATGAATAATCCAATTAAAAAATGAGCAGAATGGGGCGCCTGGGTAGCTCAGTCGGTCAAGCATCCGACTTTGGCTCAAGTCATGATCTCACAGTTCATGTGTTCGAGCCCTGAATCAGGCTCTGTGCTGACAGCTTAGAGCCTGGAGCCTGCTTCGGATTCTGTGTCACCCTCTCTCTGACCCTCCCCCGTTCATGCTCTGACTCTCTCTGTCTCAAAAATACATAAAAACATTTAAAAATATTTTTAAAAATTATCAGAATACATGAATAAAGAAGGCATACTTATGGCCAACAGACATATGAAAAGATGCTCAACATCACTCATCGTCAGGGAAATGCAGTCAAAACTACAATGAGGTATTATACCACACCTGTCAGAATGGCAACACAGAAAACAACTGGCAAGGATGTGAAGAAAGGGGAACGCTGCTGCACTGTTGGCCAGAATGCAAATGGTGTAGCCACTCTAGAAAAGAGTATGGAGATTTCTCAAAAAACTAAAAATAGAACTACCCTATGATTTAGCTACTATGTCTTTACCCAAGGAATACAAAAATACTATTTCAAAGGGATACATGCACCCTGATACTTATAGCAGCATTATCTACAATAGCCAAACTATGGAAAAAGCCCAAATATTCATTGACAGATGAATTGATGAAGAAGATGTGGTATGCATGTGTGTGTGTGTGTGTGTGTGTGGTGAAATATTACTCAGCCATCAAAAATAATGAAGTCTTGCCATTTTCAACAATGTGAATGGAGCTAGAGAGTATTATGCTAAGCAAAACTTGTCAGTCAGAAATACAAATACCATAGGATTTCACTCATATGTGGAATTTGAGAAACAAACATTATCATAGGGGGAAAAGAGAGAGGCAAAACAAGAAACAGACTCTTAACTATAGAGAACAAACTGATGGTTACCAGAATGGAAGTGGGTGGAGGCATGGGTTAAATAGGTAATGAGGATTAAAGAGTACATTTATTGTGATGAGGACTGGGTATTGTATGGAAGTGTTGGATTACTAAATTGTATATCTGACACTAATATTATACTGGATGTAGAGATTGGTTTGCTTTCAAATGTGATGAAAACAAAATCTTTAGACCTAATAAACATACTAAATGCAAACTAAACATGAAGAAATCTACACTAAATTCCATCACAATTAAGATTAAAAATAAAAACTGAAAAAGAGAAAATACTAAAAAAACAGTTATGTTGTATACAGAGGAAAAAATAAATTACAGCAGGTTTTCATTAAAATACTGCAAGTAAGAAAAGTGACAACACAGTTAAAGTATGAAATGAGAGATGGATGTTGGTAGAGAGTTAATGTAGAATTCTATATCCAGAAAAAATATCTTTCCAAAATGGATGGTAGATAAAGTTAAAAGTATGGGTAAATATATTTTTTCATTATTTCTTTGCATCATTATGAATGATAATTGATTGTTTAAATAAAAAATAATAATGTATTGTGGGGCTTATTACATAGTTATAAGTAGAACAAAAGCTGAGAGATTAGGAGAGAGAAGAGGGAAGTATGTGATGAAAAGGTATAGTCCCATACTATTGCAGAATGCAGTGTAAGTTAAGTGGTATGAGATTGATTACTTGTGTTAAGTTAAAGATGTATCCTTAATCTTAAACTTAATCCTTATAACTTAATCACTAAAAATAAGAAAGATAAATTATATATAAATAATCTAATATGTAAAGGAGGAAAATGAGATCAAATAAAAGATAAAGTAAATAAAAACAGAGACAGGAAAATTTAAACCAGCCTTATTAATATAAAATTTTCTAAACTTTTCAGTTAAAGGCAGATGTCACACTTTGAATATAAAATCACAAATAGATTAAAAGTTATGGAATGGGAGAAAATAGATAATGTTAATTCTAACCAAATAACACAGGTCTTCTGAATATCTGATAAGAAAGGTTTTAGCGAGAATATTGCTAGGAATAGAAACAATCATTTTATTATAATCATAGGTTTAATTAAACTCAAAGTAAGACCAAGAAAAGAAATAAGAAAGAGAAACACAAAAAACAATGAAATTGAAAACAAAATTTATACCAAGAAACAATGAAACCAAAAATTGTTTCTTTGAGATGAGTGAAATATTTAAAGTTCTAGTCATTCTAATCAGGAAAATTAAAGAGGCAATACAAATTACCAACGTCAGAAATGAGTGAGGGTACATTACTACACATACTACAGATATTAAAATTATATTATAATAAAACAAATTTTGTGAAGTGGAAAAATTTCTTAAAACACATCTGCTATTTAAGTTTACTCAATAAGAAATAGATAACCTAAGTTTTAATATTCATTATGGAAAGTGAATTTGTTATTACAAAGAATCTCCTAACAAACAAAACCTCATGCCCAGATGCCATCACTGGTGAATTCTTCCAAATATCTACAAAAGATTTATGACAATTTTACAAAAATGCTTGAACTGTCTCTCTCTAGCAAAAAGGTGGAGGGTGCCTGGGTGGCTCAGTTGGTTGAGCATTTGACTCATGATTTTGACTCAGGTAATGATCCCAGGGTCGTGGGAGGACCCCTGAGTTGGGCTCCACCCTGAGTGTGGATCCTGCTTGGGATTCTCTCTCTCCCTCTCTCTGTATCTCTCTCTGTCTCCTCCTTTGCCCCTTTCCCCCACTGTCTCTCTTGTAAAATAAGAATGCTAATAAAAAGAATTGTTCAAGGAGCAGTTTTCATCTTATTCCATGAGGCCAGCATTATCCTGATCTGAAAACCTGAAAAGACAAGGGTGAAACAGACTTTAAGGTGACCCCCTAAGGTCCCCATCTCCTAGGTGGGGATCCTATCCTTTTATAATCAATCCTCTCCCTTTATGTGTGGAAGAGACCAGTGACTTGCTTCTAAACAATAGAATAAGACAAAAGACCTGGGAAATCCCTCCCATGATTACACTGTTACATAAGACTGTCTTGCTAGAAGACTCCCTGTTGTTTTGAGTTCTACCAACTACTCAATTCCAAAGCCATATTATTTTTAGGTATCTATTAAAGCAGCATCTTGCTTCTGGATACAAATTTCTGTCTTAGCCAGTTAGAGCTGCTATAACAAAGTGTCATAGATTAAGGTGGCTTATAAACAGAAATGTTAATGGTTCTGGAGGCTAGAAGTCTGAAATCAGAGTGACAGTGTGATCACTTCTGGTGACAGATTTGTTCCAGGATACAGACTGCTGGATTCTTATTGTATACTCCATTGACAGAAGGAGGTCTGGAGAGCTCTCTTGGGTGTCTTTTATAAGGGCACTAATATTACTTATGGGAGTTCCTTTGTCATAAGCTAATTACCTCTCAAAGGCCCCCACCTCATAACACTATCATATTGGGGGGTCAGGATTTCAACATATGAATTTGGGGGAAACATAAACATTTAATTGATTCCAGGCATACTGACTATTCTGAAGTGAAGGTCCTTGGAAAATAGCAGATGGCAGAAAAGCTCTTTGCTTTACTTTCTACCTAAAAGCAAATCATAAAATTCCCAATGGAAAATGTACCCTCCCCATACCAGGAAGAGAATATTATCCCCAGAGACTGAGAGTCAATACTAAAATGGACCTGTAAAAACAAATCTAATAAAATCTAAAATAACTTTTATTTTCTGTTAGTTTCCCCTACTTTGGATATTTTTGTTTTGAATATTCCTGTGAACATGTAAACATAGTAAATTCTGTATATGCAATATTCTGTTAATGCAATATAATCATTCATGTAATACTTATTCCAAAGTTATATTTATTAAAACTTCTAATTTAAAAAAGAGGAGTGTCTAGTAAGATAAATTTACTATTTACCTATTTACCTCCTTTTATAAGCAATAAATAAATGTAGAGATATCTGTGTACCTGACAGGGTACAAGGAAGGAAGGAATGCTATGTGCTGTATAATTTTCTTTTGAAGAAAAGCATACTATAGTTTTAGGAGAGAGGTAATGAAAATGTAAAAAATAAAGCAGGCAGAAAAAAAATATCAAAGCATCCCCCTTCCAAAAGAAAAAAAAAAAAAAAAAAAAGAAAGAAAGATAAAAATGTCAGTTATCTAAAGCTGTTTCTGAAGATCTTGTTCATACTCCTCAACGTTAAGTCCTCAGGTCACCCCATGGTAACCACTAACAGTGCCCAATATCTGCTCCTCTGTTCTCAGAGCCTACCTTGTAGGAAACAGATTCATGTCCTGAAGACACTCTTCATAGAAAATTTCCCCTACTAGCAGAAATCCTCCTTATACCCCGTAGCAATAGAAAACAGGATCTTGGTCTCTCCAGATGGGAACACACTTTCTCCTAGATATGTCATTTCACATAGAGACAACTGTACCATTGGACAGTTATAGCCATTGCATGCACTATTGCTGATGGAACGTGCGTTAGGCATTATAATCTAATTGTCATCTGTTATATAATGTTTATGGGTAAATATAGTTCAGGTTTTAAGTAACATCTTAAGATATGTTAAAACATCACAACTGTGTTTTCCTTTGGAGACTGCCAATCTTTATTCAAAAATATGGACTTCTAATACCCTTTTGGAGAAGGTTATTATTACCTTTTTCATACCTCTGTTTTCCATTGGTAAAGGTATGTTGATATAATTTGTTTTTCTGCTTTGCTTTTATCCTGGTTGGCAGCTGCCCAAAAGTTTCCAGTAAATTTGTTTTAGTGAATTACTTTTTCTCCTCTTGCATTTCTCTTTTCTTGCTGCCTCTCTGCTTCTGGCTAGATGCCCACTGTACCCTGGTAAGCTTCACTGTAAGAACAGGTGAAAAAATCTGTTCGTGGAGTTTTAGACAGGGTTTTACTTGGTTTACACAGTTCACTGGTTCTTGTATCTCCTCTTTGTGGCTAGAATGAATCCATCTTCTTTTCAAATGCTGAGTTTAGCAATTTTGGAAATTTAGATTTTTTTTTTTTAAAGGATGCTGTGAAATACAGAAAGTCTTTTATATTTTCCTTAGATCATCTCCATTGATCTAACCATCTTTACTTAATCTTCTGAATACTGAAGACAAAACAGCTTCCTACTTCAAGTATTTTTCTGTGAATTATGCGAATGTGGAGACACCTAACATAATGAAATTACTGAAGCAGACAATTTAAGTCAGAGACTTACTCAAATATTGAAAGTTTTAGGTCTTCAGAGACAGTTGAACTTCATGGATTAATAGGCAATTCTAAATTAAGAATGATGGTAAGTGATTTAATATTTATATTGTGCATATGACGCATGCATGCATCAAAAACATACTCATCATTTTGTTAGAGTCATGGGGTGCACAGTTTTTATGTGTCTTAAGCAGTTTTGCTTTCCAGTGACTCAGAATGTTTCAGCCCATATATTTATATCATTTAATGTTTTTGATTTGAAGAGACATAAAAATAATTGAGCCCTGCTGTGGTTCATCTTACTAAATGGAGATAAATAAAATGAAAATAACTTCACCCGGTTAGATTATTGAGGTTAACTCCACAAACCTGTACTTTACGTAAATCCTATAGGAAATAGAAACAGCTGACATTAAGCTAAATTATATGAAAGTATATCTGGTCATATTTTATTAGAGACAAAGAATTTTCAAAGAAATGGACATTGTTTTTGGCATCGTCTGCTTAATGTAAATGTCTCATAAGTGTTTGAATTAAAAAATAAATGATGCATATTACATACAGTTATAAAATAGAACAAAGAATTGATACACTTCAAATAAGACTGAAAAAAAGGACAATTTCTTTTAGCTTTACCGTACATATTAAAACCATATTTTCTCTGAGAAGTAGTTCTCTTAATAAGGTGGAATTTTTGGATCCTAAGACAATGTGGCAGATATACTCAATATCAAACTTAAATTTTTCAGTGGTCCATGATGTGACCTTGAGCAAATCATTAGAGGCCTGCCTGTGCTTCAAAAAATACCAAAAATGCTTTTGCTTGCATTTTG